GTAATGGAATCACTCTATAAAAATAATTTAGGGTTGACTGTGCCACCTCAACATCATCAAAAAGCGAGACGATATCATCCTCATAATCAAGAGCAACTAGCTTTCCACCAGGAAGCACCTCAACGCTTGCATTCTGAAGTGACGAAAGTAAACAAAACTGGGGAAATTTGACAACAATGAGGAATGTCCGTTGTTGTCGGAAAGATATCCGATAAGTTACCAGAGACCCTGACACGGTTTGTTGTGTTCGGAAGTAGAGCACGTAAATGTGCAAATATTTCATTGGAACATCTATCCGCACAAGTATTTCGAACAGAAGTCATCATTGGACTAAACTGAACGCACTCTTGAGGTCCAGGAACACAGCTATTGTCGGGCTGCGGTATGAGTGGCGCTGCAAAGTGCATATATGGTCTATACAACCCCGTCCTGGGGGGAAACCTGACTGTTCATTCATAATCAGCGATTCCCGTTCCGCAATGAGGCGACGAAAAAGAAGTGAGGTCAGTAATTTTGTCACAATTGACATTAGGCTAGTACCGCTGTGGTTAGCAAAGTCGATGCGACTGCCTTTTGGTATATTGCCACTATAATTATTCAGTCCAGTTTAACGGAACGGTCTCCTCCTTTCATACATGTTCGAACAGAGAGGTCAGTGTTGTGCAGAGGATCTCACACCCATCCTTAAATAGTGCAGGTGGGAAGGAACCCGGGCTAGCAGCACGATAACGATTATGGGCTGCGATCGCGTTTCGGACCTCAGCCTCCGACAGAGGTTCTAAACTAACCGTGCATTGTTCATGTTGCATCATATGAGTAGGAAGAAGTCCGGAAGTAGGGGGACAACTGAACTGATCGTGAAAGTGCTCCGCCCAACGAGTCATACGACGGCTCATTACTGTGAATCAAGACACCCACACTGTCTCTTAGTGTCTCACTGACGCCTGGTATTCTGGGACCAGTGGTGCGGATCAGTTGGAACAGCTTGCGATAATTGTCTACTGCTCCCGTCTCCTCCATTTCTTGTGCCCTACTAATCCACCAGACTTTCTTGTCAGCGCGCAGGCTCCGCTTTAGTTCGCACCTAACGGAACGTCTGGTCACACTGTGTGCAGACCTAGCCGAGAGTTTCCTTTTGGATTCCAACAGGTTCACTGAGCTCTCGGATATTCAGTGACTGGTGCAGTGACGATTGATATTATCACAGCCGGTGCTCTGCACACAGCTGTAACAGACGTTCGCCGTTTTCCGTCCGTTCGGAGTTAAACCTATGATGACTAGCTAACGGAGCTTCTAAAGAGCTCAGACCCCCTACTTGTGCATTCATATCCCCCGCACATACTATGATATCTGAACAAGTAGCACTGCGCAGTAGCGCGTTCAGTTAATGGTAGAATGTATCCTTGGCAGCGTCAAAACTGCAGTCGGTGGGAGCGTAAGCGAAAACTACAAACAGCGTTTTGCAATACTTCGTGAATCAATCTTAGATAATGTTGTCAAACAGACTACACACAAACGGCTGTTCACGGGAATCCACTCAACTAACGATGACTCAGCCTTGGATCTCAGAACGATGTGTACCCAAGGTTGACCATTGACTGACGCATCAGCGTCTTTAAATGCGTGAAACTAACAGCGAAAGGACAAGCTCGACGCAGTTAATTCAATAACCCCGTGAAGGTTATCGATCCTAGTTTTGGATACGTAACACATGTCAATGCCCAATGTGACGGACGTGCGTGCCAGTGCAGCCTGTTGATCAACTTGTCTTAGAGTATTAACGCTGAACCCGCCAGGAAAATGGGACAGCGTGGCCTCATAAGGGACTGTTACCGATAGACATCCAGTGAGTGATGCGGAAAGTAGCTGAAGATTGCTGGACTTCAGTAGCTTTACGACTGTTGTCAATTAAGTTTGGAACTATAGAAGTTAGGTTAGTAGTGAGGTTTGGGAGAGAAGTAGAAGAAACAGGTGGAAAGGCACCGGGAGTAGCCCGTTTTCGCTTATCCGCCCTGCTGTATGCAGCAGATAAGGCGACCCTTGATAATCTGCGCGACGGCCAATGCAGGATGTGGTTGAATTTTGAGGAGATAGTCATGGTTGTACGAGGGCTGAGATACTCCTGGGGAGCTCAAACTTAGACAGAACGATTAGGGTCCTCAACCAAAGCTTTTGGCTTAAAACCCTATCCGCAAGGCAGAGGGGAGGTGGCAATGAATTAGTTTTATAGAAATGGACGCTATCGCACTTCAAACTCCTAATATGGAGGGCCAGGAGAATGAGTTCGTCTGACTTCTAACCACTGATCAACCTGATAGGAGTAGCTCTCAAAAGGACCCGAGGCACCATCCAGTAAAGCTCAATGGGTCAGAAAGGTACATAAACTGTCGCACCACGTTATGATCCAGTCTCGTGGCAGGATTTGGGCGATAGGTGTGGTTGAGCAACTAGTTGCTTGATTGCATATTGTTGTCATGTTGAGAACGTGGTTAAACGGCTGGGCAGCGGTCACTAGAGTGGGAAGTCAGTGTGCCTTATGGTAAGAACGGTCAGAAGGCCTGTGACGAACAACGAGCATGCGTTCGGTAATTCTTCAGATGTGTGCTTCCTTCCTTCCTCTACGGAAGGATTAGATCAATTCGTGGTAAGCATTTGAACCGTCTGATTCCTAAATCTGAGCTCTTAAGGAAAAAGAATTCATCGAAAGTAGCGTATAATGCCACAGGTGGATTGTTAACGCAGCTGGCGTCATCTCAACGTGGTTAGTCGCGAAGGTGTGTCCACGCTTAATCAAAGACTAAGTGCAAAAACCCTTCGATTATTGTTGATAAGTTTATGAAACCGACGTCGGAATGGAAGAAAGATGATGCAGAGGCAATATCAAAAAGCGTATATAATAGAACAGCGTGGACCAAGATAGTGGTACTGGGAGCATTCAGTCAGCTGTTGTCTCGACTCGCAGAAAAATACAAAGTGGACACTGGTTATCCTGTGGTTCAGAACACCGCTTCTGACAGACACTAATTCGTGTCCACACCGGAAGATGAGAGTTGGTAATACATACAACTGGCGATGCATCTGAATAATTTGTGTAGTGTGAGAGTAAGCAGAAACAAGCAGTGCCAACTATGAGTGGATTGCGTAATGGGATAATGAGACGTCCGTAAGATAATTTCTTGAATGTCTTGCCATTCTGTGACACCAATCGTTAAGGTAAAAGCAGAGCACTGAAGTGGGATTCAGCAGGAAAGCCAGGGTAAGTGTGTCTAAAAGTGTGCGGAGGAGAATGACTACTGACTGAGTCAAATGAAATACGGAGGCAAAACGATAGTTGAGTCTCATGGGAATGGTAAAATTGGGACCATGGACCTTGCTCTATCTTGCATTGCCAACCTAGTCTTCTCAAAGGAATCTGGCTAACCACTCCGCTCTTAGCATGGGCATTGAAATAAAAAGCAAACATGTTAAAACCCATTCGTTACCGAATTTTGGAGAACCTACGATGAGACCGGACTGCGACAAGCAACTAAACGTGGACCTCGATCATTACGACCAATGAAACAGTATTCGAAGCGGAGAATATGCAGTGCTGCTCTCTCAAACGCTGCACTTCACAACCGATTACATGTTTGCGTGGAGTCTCCAAGTAGAAATAGTCGGAACTGGAAATAGGACCTGGAACATGATGGCTGACGGTGGACGCCACTGAGCTCCGCGAGTAGCTCTTGACAAAGCGATTGAAAATCTTGTTAATGAGTTCACAAAATACCCACTAAAGGAGTCACAAGAAGGATGCAAAAATACGGCTACCCAAGGCGATTAAGCCAAATGGAAAAACTACTTTAGCGTCAAAGTGACGTATATGAAATGCCCATCTTGCTATTGGGTTACACATCCAAACCCTTTTACCGCAATATTCTTGGTGTTACTACATTCTTGCTACTCAGTGGTCTGGAAAATTCAACCTTACTTGTTTTGTACAATCTTGACAAGTATTCCCGAGGAATTTTGAAAATTCCGTACGGAGCTCCAGTTCTTTTTCTCCGGAGCAAACTAACAATCGGTCAGCGACCTGTGTAATTCTAGGGATCAGAACGACTGCGACAAGCGGATGCCTTTTACGGGTTCGAGTGCTGTATCAATACCAAAGAAGCAAAAGAAGTCTAATTTCACCGCTTTTTATCAACATCTGATCGCATAGCACATATGCAGGATGTAAAGGAATAATTTTATCCTACCAATGAACTCCGCAAAACATTTTCGCTAAACGGAAATATGGGACACAACTTCCATCGCAACTACCCACTGTCAAGTAAATTTGCCCCATATCAGTGCAATGATTAAAAAAAGGCTATTCGTTATCACAAACGGATACGGCGAGGATGTTAGTTGCCAACGAGTCTGATCATGTCATACTGACGCGTTCACTATTCTAGTAATAACATTTTCAAATTACTGGTGCCGCACGTGTCATCTCAAATAACCGTATTTGAATAGCGCCGTTTTTTCCGGAAAACTTATGATCGTTATCCTGTTGATGTTCGCACCAATATGAGCATGCCTGTGAAGCGCGCTTCGCACTGCCGAGAATAAACAATTTATGTATCCAGTAAGTACGTTAAATGACCGATAGCGCAGAACGTCGACAGCCAACCTTTATCCGCAACAACGAGAGAAGAGCAGTAACAAAAAGTGTGGAAGTGGTATCAGTGTATTAGTAAAGTGCACACACGTATTCCAATGCAAATAATAATATGCGCTTATACAAGCCGTAGAACTAAGTAGGCTGCCAATAAGAAAAGGAGAAAAATAACTTTGAATAGAATTAGAGTAATGAGTATATTGTGTGGTGGATGAAGACATCCCCAGCCAGGAGGCTTGAAAAAGCACAAGCAACATGAGAATGCATCATGGGGAATAACAGACTCTGAGAGGGGATACATGCAGCTAAACAATAAAGCTTCCAGTCAATTACTAATCGAACACAGAGAAAAACCAACCTGTGCTTCAAAATCCGACTGATCACGGAGGTCGTGGTCACCAGAGACCCACTGTCAACACGTCGAAATATACCGCGCTGTTTGGGGATCTGGAATCCAAAGAGGAACATAATGGAGTGGAGAGTTAGTGAAATGGTGACAGGGAAAGCAAGAAGTGGCGATCATTCCTAACGCATGTACCTGCATTTCTCGGATGTGCATTGGGTGGAAAAATGCGGTTGTGAAGACCATAGTTTTATTCCAATGAAAGTAGCACGTGATATGTCATGTAACGACGGTAGGAATGTGGATTGGTTGTTTACCAATGGTGAAAGTAATGTATCGGACGGTTTGGTGTGATTGCGAACAGTCGCAGGACATTAGCGCAATCGGAGGGAACAGGAGACTTTATCCACCACCCACGCACGCCACACCTAGCGCAAGCTTGAAGGAACATGAATAGGAAGCATGTGGTTGAAAGCTAACATAGAGTCAGAGCCGACTCGCATACCTGCATCACATATGTCAGTGATGTACAAATCGGGGAATTCATGTGTACTAGACGGTACCTTGGTCGTGTCCCATGACAAGCTGAATGGAACCTGTTACAGTCCATGGCCTACGAAACTACCGCTAGTAGTGGAAGCAAAACGACGGCTCGTAGCCGAGATTACGCAAAGCGAAAGATGTTAACCAGAGGAAACACAAAGTATAGTGTAATAGGTAGATTGGACAAAGCGTCGACCATCTATTTTAGACAAGATGAATCGATGAGTGGCTGAGCGGTAGACGGACACTCATGCGTGAAGACAGACAGCAGAAAGTAAGCAGCAGTAAGCAACGACTGCCCGGATGTCACAGAATCATTGATTGTAACGACCACTGTCTTGAAAACTATGCACATGTCTCATACAGATTTTGACAAGGTACCTACCCATCGAGAACCGACAAATAGATTGTTGGCTCCAGGAGATTGCTACTAATTGCTGGAGAAAGACGGAGAGCATAGTCATCGCGACAGTGCCAGGCTCAAAGAGTGGTCCCATCCAGCGTGGAACGGCTACGGCGTAGCCACCATCCTGTGTACGTCTGGTTGGCATGCTTCGTTCCATTCAAATGGATGATATGCATGTTGAAGAAGTGGACTCCGGTTATAAATAAATAATGGCACCAATCCACATGTCCCCCAATCTTATTCCTTCGAGTTTACACTGGAGATGGGGTGTGCGGATGGAGCTGTGGGTAGAGCAGCGCAAGCTATGCATGGTCCCTCTGGAGGTGCATGCTGCTGACAGTCATAGTACCAGGCGATTTCAGGAATGGATGGTGTTAAAGATACAGTTGGTACAAAAAGCTATGAGCGAAAAAATAGAGAAAGCAAGTAATGAACGTGCTGCTTAGTGTCGAAGAGAAAACAATCGTGAAAAGTGGGAGCAGTTTTGTACACAGTGGAGGGAGTGGATGGTCTTGGTGTTAACCTCGACAGAACTGAGAACAAAGCCCAGTAGCACCTACGGGGGAAAGCTGCTCATGTTAGGTCTGAGTAAGAAAAAATATGCTGTAAATATGGTTGTGATAAAAGTCGTGATCGCATGAATCTGCGTTTGCAGAGCATAAGGCTTCAAACATATTCTTACTCGCTGAACACGGTGATGTTGGTTTGCAAATGTTAACAGAGGGTGGAGTGTATCGCATTAAGTCGATTACTCATAGCAAGGAAACCTATGTGGACAGTGAGCCGCGGTCACCGGGGTGTAGTGAACCAAGGCACATGTTTGAAGTTTTCGCTTGAGTTTGTAAAACGTGCAAGAGGGCAGTCTATACAACTGATCAAACTTAAAGCTAAAAGGTAAAGGTTCTGACCACACACATTAACCCAAGTACCAGCGCTTCCATGTTATGGAGTCACAATTGGTTGTGCGTCAGTTTGTATGCATGACGGGGACGCCGAAACCAATGGAGCGCGGAACTGAATCCAGATCATAGGGGCCAAAGGCGTGAACCATCAAAATACAGATGCCTTACAAAATAACTGCCATTTTATGGCATTAGAGAGGAGGCTGTCAAGACAAATGAGAAACCTAGAGATGAACTGTGATGGCCCAGAAACCTCGCATAGGCGCAAATCGGTTCTAGGTCGATTTCTCAAACTTCGCCGAGGAAAAGTTCAAAATTAGTAGATGGAACACGCGTCACACGACAGCTGATAGTTAGGATCATTAAAATCCAAAAGGAACAAATGGGAACCTGTCTGATGGGGGTGTCTATGCTTAATACTTTGCTGAGTACAGAGCGCAGGTGATCACACGTTAGGATTGGGAGAACCAAAGTGGCCTAGGGCCATATCATCACAAGAATACGCTAACCTCGTATAGGTAGTTAATGTAGAATTGTCGAAAGTAGATCTCAATCACGCAAAATGCTGTTTACTCTTTGATAAAACCCGAATCAAGCTAACTAATGAAGGTATGAACAAGAATGTGACACACTGCCAAATTAACTTTTATTCATGAGGTGATGCAGCGACTCAACCCTGAAATTACGCGTCAGGCTTTTTGGTATCAACGCGTGTGTGATTTTGGTTCCAATGAGGTGGGCGAAGCAATTCAGCAGAGCGAAAGTTTTCAAGAGTATGGGGACAAAACAATTCAAATATTCGGATGACAAACTCCTAGATTTAAGAAATAGAGCACGCCTACTGAAAATCCCCAACAACGAACAAGTAAGATGAGAAATAAACGGGTACAAGCTTAGTTAGAACAAAACAAGAGGTCACTCACGCGCATAGGATCCAAGCCATTTTTGTATGGCATCAGCCTCGTGTCTTGCCCCACAATGACGAAGTTCACCTGTGCAAAGCAAACAGCCAGATTAGCAAGCGCATGCCACTCACAACATGACGCTACTATTACACCTGAAATATAGGAAGGAAAGCTGGAAGACCAGAGTGAGAAAATGGAAGGTAGCAATAATTGGGAACCCCTTCCCGATAGGCCTTTGTACAGCCAGAGTAAGGTTGCATATTGCGAGTCAACCATGTTTCGCCTGTAGATAGAGTTGCACCTCATTTATGTGCGACTGATTTGTGACCAGTTGACTGCTACTGTGGGTACAGTGCTACCAGGGGACATAGATATCAGCAAGCGACAGGAATGCGGCAATCGAAATCGAAATCCCATTACAAAAGCTATGGCTTCGGCATGTTAGTCACGAGATTATGACGGAACGACTGCCAGAGTACAGAACCACATCAGGGGAAGCATACTTCGGATAAGTGCACGCACGAGGATGAAGAAACTGTTTCTCCCCTCGAAGTCTAACAAGGGCAAATAATTGGCAGGAAAGACGAAACTAGTCGGGATAACAGTAGCCAGCGAGGACAAAAGGTGAAGACATCCGGAGATTAAGCCATCAGTAGTACGCTAGCACACCATGTTGGCGCTTCGCTGCCAGTGACCAGCGACAGTTGCGCGAAGACTGGCAATACTGCGAGGTCACCTGCAACTACGCGGATTCGAACCGATGACAACAGTAATACAACGCAGGTGCGCAATCCCATCGGCCACCGGAAGTAACCAGATTACCTGAGACAGCGATACACATCAAGAAATGCGCTGATATATATATATATATATATATATATATATATATATATATATATATATATATATATATATATATATATATATATATATATATATATATATATATATATATATATATGATTTGGCGGCGTCCGTATCCGGATTTGCCTGTCACTGTGATGTCCATGGGGACAGTCACAGGACGCCTGCGCCTACAGAGGGACCATGGGTGGCTTGCGCTGCACCACCCATAGTTCCATCCACACACCCCATATCCAGTGTAAACCCGAAGGAATAAGACCGGGAGGCATGCGGATGGGAGCCACGGTTCATCAACGGAGCCGGCCCACACTCCTTCAACAAGTAGAACGGAAGCATTCCGGCCTAATTGGGAATTCGTACACATCAGACGTACACGAGGCGGTGGCTGGACCGTAGCCCGTTCCACACAGGTTGCATGGAACCACTCTTTGAGCCTAGCACCGTCACGAGGACGGTGCACTCCGTCCCCTCCAGCGACGACCAACTGTCTCCTGGAGCCAGTATGGACGAGGTAGTGGGTAATAGACAGGTAGGCACCTTGTCAACATTCACATCAGGGGCATCCACACAGGGGAGCTCAAGCAACATGTACTTCTGAAATGCAAGATTATTCATCACGCAAGCAAACGTACCACATACGCTGCCTTATTGGCCTGGATTAGTAAATTGAATGGGAACATACTCATGGTGCTTCTATTCCGCGTACAATTGTGCCTTCTCCGGCACCTGAGAAACTGCCATTTTGAGTAGTTCACGGAATTCGCATCGATCAAATTTGCCTTGGATTCGCAACACCTGAAATCAACATGAGTTTGTCATAAACTCACCTTCTTCATGTTCTGGTAATATTATTTTCGGTTTGCTCGAAAGTCGTTCTACTGCACTAAGTTAACCGTACAAAAGCGATATGAAGATCCTCGTGGAATTCATTCGGTACACATATATACATAGATTGGCGTCATCTTTGTCCAATGGCAGTTCGAATGCAACATATGTACATGCGTTTATGCAAACTTAAGCGTGAGCTGTCACAAAGTGGACAGCGACACATTAGACATCATCATCAATGGTACGACAAACGTGCATGGGTTTCGTTTGGAGGTCAGGCTAACAACCACTTTTGCAGGTATGAGAATAACTACCCCATACGAACTGTTGATGTTTTCTTCCACATTTAGACGTGACTGCCTTAAATCTTGGGCATCCATATTTGAAGGAATCCGATGTGGCAATAGTAAAGCAACTGCTAGGTAGAATGATGACTAGACTATTGGTACAGTGAAATAGTGTGCACTTAGGTGTTGCCCTCTACATGTACAGTCTGGTTTGAGTAGCTGAGGTGGGAGATCACACAGCATGCGAATGCGATACAGTGTCCACTTCTGGCTCTCTGTGTCTCCGACCGGTTCGGTCATGTGCTGCCCGAGGCATGTGCACCTACTCAAAGAACGATTGATGCGCAACCTTTGGTATTGACAAGTGACATCAACTAAGTCCCGCTGCCCACTGTCAAACATTCGACTTTCCAAACAGTGTTCACATTTATTGTGCAAATGTCCAGGTACTCAACCGTTTATACCTACCAACCTGTACTCTACTGTGGCCATAAGCTATTTGCTAACGGTCTATATCGTACGTTCCAGGTGCAGCCCATTCGGTACTCATAAAACCATTGTCGCTATGCGCCGATTCATTTCCGATGTTATATAATGACACACTGACGTACCATTCCCGTTAGATGCAACCTTTTATTTAATCCATTCAAAGGATTGGCCATGTGCAATGCAACTTCTGGTAGGCGTCTCCACACGTCTGCCTTCCATCCGGTTAATACGTGTGTTTTCATAGGCCCCGGCAAATTCAGTATGGCTGAGGGATAACTGGAACTATAACTATACTCACTCTCTTCACTAGCCTGCGGAGTGGAACATGGAATGGCAATATCGTGACAATCGCTAGTCGGTTAATTGTCGGGATTGTTCACTTGACACAGATTTTCCAGGGAAATTTCTCTTCGAATGCATAATCCAAAGTGGTCACACGAAGGACAATCGTTGAGCATTGTGTTACAAATGTCAAATTTGACATTTTATGCGTACTGTAAACGGCCAAGCGATGATAACCTTTCGATTCAAACGTCTCCATCGAACTGGAAACATACAAACTATAATTTGCCACCCTAGCATTGATCCGTAGCAAGCACACAAATCGCTCGGAAATACCGCACTCACATCAATTACGAATGAGCTCATGGATGGACTGAACCATTATTCTGCGATGCACCGGATCTCTAAGCATCATACAAGTTAGCATTGAGCAGCTAGTCAAGCTACAGTTATGGTGAGCAATACCATGGAGCTAACATAGTGCTATGAATCGCGGCCGAATAATAATACGAAAATAAAAATGTCATAGCTCACTCACGGTATGTAACCATACTAGACGCCGCTTGCGGAGGTAGCAAGAATAGCATAGCATAGATCATGATGAGTACAATATCGTAATGGGCAACACATGAAGTCATCGCGAAATACAACCGGGTTAAATAAGCCTAAAAAAGTCAGATTACCTGTGGCTTATCCATTCTATGCAGGTGCAATAAAGATACCACATTGCACCAAGTCGGTAGTTAATCATTCTAGAATGAAACTACACCCAAGCCCGACTTACACGCGGTATATAGAATAAGGATGACACCAAAATGAATGACGGAGATGGCGTAAGCAACTTTTCAAGTTAGCAGGGAAATGATGCGATTATGTCCACTGCAGGCTATCCGTGTCGTAAAGTAAAACCAGAGCCGGTTCTAATCGTCTATTGTCCGAGGTAAGCGGGAATCAACAGGGAGGTAGAACCACCAAGCAGTCCGTCATGTGTTACTATTTATTTCCCCCTGGTCATTCGTTCGGACCGCTAACATATCTCGACCAATCCATCAGTGTCTAGAATACTACCTATGCCCATGCATTTCGATTCGGATGTTACAACGTATTGCCGCTGCTCCGGGAATCAACCTAGATGACTTGTCTGAATCTCAGTGCGTTTACCTGAAGGCGGCAGCAGTACAATGGGGCGTATAGAGACACTTGAGATGAGATACATTGACTTCATATTGCAACCCCTAATAAGTCACGGTGTCACACGAGATGAAATGTAATAACATCCATCTGTCAAGTGGGAATGTATCGAAACACGAACAGATGTTAGCGGGATGTGTACTTTAGGCGAGTCCCATTTAGACATCGAGCCAGCAGATAATGGTGTTACGCGAGTGAAAATGCCATCAGTCTGTCAGGCTGAAGTGTGGTGCTTATAAGTGTTTCTAAATGGCTTCCACTTAGTCATTCAACGTGAGATATCGGTTGACACACCAAAGGTCCTTGGTTCGAGTTACATTACTGCAGTGTTGCGAACGAGCATTTGTTCACACTTGTATATATATATATATATATATATATATATATATATATATATATATATATATATATATATATATATATATATATATATATGACTGCGGGAGAGCCTATGGTGCGCTGAGACTGGTGGTGGCTAGATCCTGACAGACGAGGTACCCACTGCTGCTACTGTTGCGCCATTTGCTCATGTCCTGGACGCCTCCTCGTGGCGACCAAAGGGTGGGAGTTGGGTTTCGCCCTTCTCCCTGCTAAGATCCAGGACACCAGTCCGCATGAGTCAGTGAACTGACCATGTGCTAGATCCGCTGCCTTTCGGGTGTTCATTTAATCGAAGGCTTTGGCTGATGACCCGAGTCGTTCTCCTGTCAGCAGTGGGCGCCCTGGCAGTATCCTAGTCCATCCTCTTTGGAGGTTAGGAAGTGGTCGATGGCCCTCTTCCCGTAAAACCTAGCTATGGCAGACAACAGGTCTACGGGTTACAAGCTCACAGCTCGATTGGCGTAGAGCACGATCGCAACGCAATGTCTCTGACGGTGGGAGGCCACCTCCGGGTGTTCAATGGTTTGCTACTGCCCGCCTCAAGCTAAGCAACCTCTGGTAAAATTGGTGCAAACCCACCAAAACCCACCTGCGTCTGGCCGTGGTCGCAGGTGCGTATGTATCCTCAACAGTCTATCAACTAGACATAGAGCCAGAATAAAACCATGGAGATTAGGGGATAAGCAAGAATCATCGCGTCATAATCACCGTGGCATGCTAGTTGAAGGTGAGCAACACACTTCAACTAATATGCCGCAGGAAGAA